CATTGCGCAACCATTTTCCTATGGTTTTGCAGCAGCTTGGCATTTTCACTCGAATACTCGAATGCATGCGGAGCAAGTCCGCTCTTGCATCCTGTTTTTATCCAGACTTCTTCCGGTCATCCTTAAAGCCATGCCCAAGGCAAGTGATGTGGACACAACTCCTGGGCCTCTTGGATGCAGACCCCGAGAACCTACGCACTAATCACTATATAATCTAATCGCTTTAGGAGCTGAGGCTCTAGGCTTGCAGTATTTTGCCAGAGGAGACTCGATATTGGGCTTCACATTCGTAGTGATAGAAGAGCCAGTCAAAATGCTTGGTTACTAAGTTTGAAAGCCCTGTGCGAAGCAGGAGTGGCCGCAGCACGTGCGCTAAAACTGACTGAGACTGAGGATCCGTGATCGCTCTCTTCGTTGGCCAATTTGTCACCACAACCAACTTGGACCCATTGACAGCAATTCTTTTTGGACAACTTGCCCGGAAGGTGTGAACCTCAGAGATCTCAGTTCACACATGTGTTTGGCGAAGCTTTTGCCATGGAGTGACTGTGGGAACAGCTTGCAGTAAGGGCCAGTTGGTCAAAATGCTGAAGATTCTTGAAGGACATTGTATGGTGACAGTGGAAATCCATTACTGTGCTGTAGTCTTTATACATTCCTGAGAGACTTATCAAACCTTTGTGATTAATAACACTCCGATGGCTTCTTGTAGAGCTCATGAGCTCAGATTCGTGTTAGTTGCACGAGCCCACCTCCAGGTGGCACGCCTTGAGATGCATGAGAATCAGGCCAATGGGCGCTGTTGACTGATCCTTTGCTGTTGTGACATTCTGAGGTGTCGAAGGGACCTGGGACCGTGACATCAAGAGATTGCCAACGACTACCACCCTATTGTAGAACTAGGCATCGACGCCAACCGGGGCCCCGCACGAAATGAGCGTTGCATTGCAAGACATCAAGTTGAAAGTGGAGAACAGGCTGTGTTTTGGATGGTTTTTGCCATGCACTTTTAAGAAGAGGTCACGTAGGTTTTGTATGTGCAGGCCCAGTATAAGAGGCCAGGGTCACTGGGGAGAAGAAATACATTTTGACAAGCTCCTTCCAGAGATCTCCCTGCACGTTCCATCGAAGCTGAAAGATGTACGCACAGCTCCACAGCCTGACACCACTCTGGCATCCGCTTCGGTCTCACTTGCAAACCCTAGGGCATGGATGGGCATGGACTTTTTCAAGAGCGTCCAGAAGTTGTCTAAAACTTGCGTGCTAGCAACGGATGCCTGCCTGGTGGGCAAACTTCTTTTGACCAGGTCTTTAGTAAACTCACGTTTATATACTATGGTTCACCTCCGGAAAGGGAAGGCTATTCAAGACACACATGTCACATGCGCTTCCAAGCTTTGTTGCCATCCCCCACAGCCGGGCTGGTTGCGCCAGCTTAGCTTAGGCTGCAGCAAAACGTGTCTGGCCGGTCCACGCTCCACGAGCGTGTAACTGAAAGTATCCAGGCGCTTTCTCCCCTGGATTTTTGTCAAGCCATGCCTTGACGAGAAGTGTCAAAGAGTTCTTCCACTCAGGGTGGTCCTCGAAAGCGGAAAAGTACCGGCTCCAACGCAACAACGGAACGAAAAAGAAAAGATGACGCAGTCGCTAGTGTGTTGGATGCCTGCGGCTGTGCATGTGAAACGACTGCGTGCAGACGTGTGCCCGCGAATGTGCCATAATGTGCCCCAACATGCAGCACTTGAAAAATCGCTAATAAAATGGTGGTTTCGCCCGGGGCCCCAGTCAGCGTCATAGGCAAACAAGTGGGACTTGCTGCATAGAATCGAAGCTAGGTTCGTGAGACTAAAACCCAAAGTCGGGATCATGGTATTCCCCCCGCATTGATGGCAGTTTGCAGGAGACGATCCTCAGCAATGTCATGTTGTTGATGCCCTTTGTCTCTTTGTGTTTGGGCGTGGTGCTCTACATCGTGGGAAAGTTGAAGCTTGTGACTCGGTTGCTGGCAAGGGATGCGGTGACAGTGACCAGTCTTTCGAGAGATCATGAATCATGGGCACCTCTGCAATCCAAGTGACCAAAGAAACCGTTCTCATACAAATGGAGCTGCCATGAGAATGTCCAAATTAGAGCAAACTGGGAACTTGTCAGAAATCCTAGAGCCAATTATATACATCGTTCAAAACGATCGGCCGCGTGTCCAGGCAATGATGCTGCGATTCATTCCGTATACCGTCGTGGCAGGATTTTTAGCTGGCAGCGGTATACTGATTCTTCAGGCAGGCCAAGTGATTCAGTAGCTTTGCAGGTTTGCTGCGAGAACTATACTTATACGTACTTCTGCCGTATTTCAGCACCTGTCAGGCTTGATACAGTACATACAGAGCCGTTGATATGCTTGCGCTGAACCAAAGTACCGAGTGCAATCGGCCAGCAGCCACGCTGAGTTTTCAGGAGTCCTTATCCTTGGCGGCTGGCATTGAGCTGTGGGTTGCTTGCCTGTTATTGGCAGGGTGTTTGTTTGGCCACAGGAGCCCCAGCACGTCATTAATCAGTTTTTGCCACATCAGGACCTTGTCCGACAGTCGCTGGTCTCCTTTACAGATCTTGCAGGAGCTAGCAACCTGGCTAGCAGCTGGGTCCAGCCACTTGGATTCAGGATGAGAGCTTCCTCTTTTCTTTGAAGGTTCCAAAGATGTCATGTGTAGGGTGATTGCTTCTGGCATGTTGTGTTATTTAAATCATTGCTCTTAGAAGCGAGATATCCGTAGATGGAGTGGGACTTGGACCTAGGGTGATGCTCGCCATACTGTTCTCAGCACTTCTTGAATTTGCACCTTGGGCTGACCTAAACATAATTATGGTGTGTGTGAGTGGTTCTTTTAGTCTTTCTTCTATTTTTGCACGCACTGGCATGTGCATCAAGCAACTTCAAGTGTTGGTATGGAGCGTACATGTATGTAAATGTGTAGCACCATTCGCACATTGAGATCTCTCAACCGACCAGTCTACGGGAAAGGGGTTTCCAAGATACCCTGTGATGTTCCTGTGCCATTAGCATTTGCAAGAACTAAGAAGGACATGGATTGAAGACGAGAAAACAACATACGCTGTTTTGCTGTGCGTTCCGAACAACAAGGTGCGAGAATGGCATATGTTTAGCACGCCGTTGGTCATGGTTGGAGCTGTTGGACTCAGCATTGCCTTGGAGAAGCTGTCAAGTGGAAGCCTGCCTCCAAGGTGGGCACCATTTGGATTGTCACATTTTGTTACCACTTGGACTTGATTTGTGAAAGTATGCGGCAAAACCATCAGAGAAGCTTGATATTTTGGACTTCAACTCTGCTGTGGACAACAAGTTCTTTTTCTTTTTTCCAGGTCTTGGTTCCTCCCCTTTCCTGAACCTGTCGATTGGTCCCGCTCCTACGATTGCTTAGATTTCTGCACTGGAAACTGGAAAGCCGATATTTCTTCTCCCTAGAGTACAGACAAAGCTGTCAGTCCGATTCAACCATATCATGAGCATCATGAACTAAGGTGGGCACCATTTGAGCCTTGGATCCGCAAGTTCTTGGTTGTTGAATGAGTCTGGGCCTGCCTCATCATGTGACAAACTTCAGAATTTGAGGAGCAAGTGCGCGATGGCTTTCACCAAAGCTATGAAAAGACGGCTGTTGCAGATATGGAGTTCATGGGGAGCTTTGTGGCTCGTCTGATTTTTTTTTCAGATTTGTTTGTTTGCCACAGACACATGGGCCACATTCATCACATGCATCCATACAGTTCCAAAGGCCACTTGTACGCTTGTCAGAGTTGTCAGAGTTGCGGTCTTGTTCCAAGTCAATGATGGGGCAAGAAACAACTCAAAAGCGCTTGTGTTTCCATACCTTTCCAACTGGGAATGTGGGACATCCGTGATCCTTGAGGACATATTGTGCATATATATATATATATAATATGTATACTGTATAGAGCGAGAGAGGGGAACTATAGGAAAAGATGGAAAGAGCGGAAACAACAGATGGACGCACGGACGGACGGGACGGGAAGGGAAGGGAAGGGCCGGGTGCTAATTTCCATCTCTTTCTCTTGTTTCTTCATGTATTCTCTTCAAAGTGGGTCTTCAAGGTGGTGATCATGACAGTTTCCTGGAGCATCAATACCTTGGCTGTTGCGAAACTGGTCCCTTTGCGACCGGGCCTAGAACGTTGTGATGAGCAGGAGGAGACGCCTGGCAGCCAGTCTTTGTCCCACCAACATGCATTTGCCATTGGCGTACGAATCCTCAACGTGGCCCGACCCTTCCGAAAGTTGCGTTCCAAGGATACGGGATCTTGGCGTGACCAACATATTGCTGGGATCGTGTGGAGGGCTTTGTTCTATGCAGTCCTTCAAGATCCCCATGATCATGCGATGTGTAAGGCCTGTCTTTGTTCTTGTGAAGGTTGGACAGAATCAAAGACCAGTTTAGCCAACCTCAGCAGCCGATCGAGAGCATCCAGTCTAGCGAAATGACATAGCTGAGCCGTGTCCACAAGATTTCACAATGCCAGGTATTCTTCGCACTGAGAATTCATAGGACTGCCAAGTGTGTGCTGTCCAGGTCTGGACCCAATTGGCCGTACTTTAACGTCATGATGAACATCCTGCTGTTTCTTTGCTCACCACGGAGTATTGTACAGTCTGTCCCACGCTTCCTTTTTGCAGGCGAGCTGAGAGCCGAATTGAAATATTAAGTGTAATGAAATAGTCATAGTGGATTGCGAGTCCATTGTGAAGCTGGGACCATAGACTTTGGTTCAACAGGAGCCTGATCCGACTAGTTGCGTTTCCCATCATTACGTTTTTGTTCTTGTGAACACCAGATCTCATTGCCTGTCAGCTCACAAGCGTTTGGTTTCTAACTTATATATACTTATATTCTTTTTGAGAGGATGAGATCGAGGTTGGCTCCAAGTTTTTTTTGAGCCTAGAACTCTAGCTGCTCGCTACTAAACAAGTTAGCAGGTCCCATCTAGCACCAGGACGAAGTGATCCATTTCTGCCGCGCCATCTACCCCTGACCACAGGTAGACCAGGGAGTACCAAATGGTCTCTGTGCGGTTGGATGCAATGAGTCAAATCTCCGTTTTGCATCCGTTGGGACGCGCAGAAAGCGTTTCTTCTCGAGGCACGGTGGTGCGTCTTGCCTGTGACCTCATCAACGAGTGGTTGCTGGACGCACGACGCCGGGTCTCTGCGGAGGTGCCTCCGGCGCTGTGGATACAACGGTCTCGGGTGGGGGGGCGCCATTTTGGGCGCTCGATGTATCTCGGTGTCGTCAATCTATCTCCGATTCATCTCAGTTGGCCAGTTGGCTCCGCAAAGGAGATGAAAGAAGCAGCCATTTTGTTCCTGTGGGATGTGTGTAGGAGTGGCTCGTGCTGCTCGCTACTGCCATTGCAGTGGTCCCCTGGGTGGCATTTTGAGGCAAGCTTTGAGTGGGATTTGGCAGGCAGCTCACCATGATCGATTGCTTGCAGTCCTTTTTGTCGCAGATACTGTAGATATTTCATGCACCGCCTCAAGTGTTCCCAAGGTGATCAATGTCACGCTTGGAATTCTTTTTGGACTGTTTTGCACACTGGTCGGACACCAAGAGTCAGTCAGGGGGTTAGCTTGTGATGTCTTCAGGTAATGAATCACTTACTCAAAGGTAAGTCAAGTTAAGTTTCCCCAACAAGAAAAAGCTAGGAACCAAATCATTAGTGCTGCGAGAGTGAGCTATCCTCCGTCCAGTATGGAGTGGCTTAAGTAGCTAGGAGCTTACTTGTTAAGTAGGTGCCTACTTAATTAAGTAGCGAGGGGGGAGCGGGCTTAAAAAAGAACGCCACACGCCCTGGAAGTGCTGGAGGACGAACACAATTTCAGTGACCTTAGAATCGACAGATTCACGTGTATGGACATGTGGGTAACCCGGGAAATGATTTTTGTGAAAGACTGGGTGTCCAAACCAAGTCTAATCCCAAGTACGCTCGAAGTTACGAGGGGAAAAAACACGGAACGTGAAGCATGAAACTTCTTTTCAGCGTAGACCTTCGATGTGACTCAAGGGCCCTTTTTGGTACCCATTGAGCATGAAGCGAGCGGCGGATCATGAAAGATCAGTTCATGGGCCATGAACTCACACCGGTCGTTCTTTCGAAAAAGACACTCAAAAAGCTTCTTAAGTGAGCGAGTGCCTCCAACTTCAAACATGGAATCTAGGTCCCACCACTGGACCCATGCGGTCGCCTGTGAGCCGGAGTGACTCTGTTCACGCACATTGAGCAGTAATCATAGTCCCTGAACTCTGTTGTTTGGGTCAGAGCCGAACATTGGGGATCGATGTGGAACTTCCGTCCGTGCCTTGTGATGCACACGGTTTGTGGTATTCCACCGAGGTGGTTGTTGAGGTATGCTGCTTGCTGTGCGATGTCTGCCAAGTCTCGTTCCAGCTGTGTGATCATGCGCTGCTGCTCATCAAGTCTCTCATCTGTCAGGTTCTGCCTGACATCTCTTGCTTGAACTTCTATCTCAAGCTCTCTGCATCGGGCTTCAAGCTCTTTGCATTGATCTTCTAGCCTCTCGTTCTCTTTTCTCACTCTGTCCATGGTCTCATTGCCTCTTTTGATGAAGTCTTTGTATTGTGTGATTCTGGCTTCAAGCCTGTCGCTTGTCTCTCTTCTTTGTGGTGCTGGTTGCTGATGCTGCTCTTCTTGTTCTGTTTGGCTCTGGGCTTCTGCTGTGGGATTGTGTGGCTGTGTGCGCTGCCGCCAACATGCAATCAACCAACCGACAACTTGAAAAGCACCAATGCACAACAATGTACCAATCACCAACAATGTCAAGTCCCAACCTGTCTCATCATCTTCTCCCTGAGCTCTCGTCGGTGTCAACTCATTTGCGATGATCATCATGGTCAGACTCTTTTTCACACTGATCGCATTCCTCCGAGCATTATCTCTTCTCTCCTGCATGGTTTTGCGTTTTGCTGCCTGAAATGTGCTGTCGGCCATCAATGAAATTCTGTGTGTCCTCAACCTGTCGGCCAGTAGCTGTCTTGCTTGGATCTTCGTCAAACCATCTGACAGCTGAACTTCTGACGACACCCAGCGTAGCTGAGTTTTGAGGTTCTGCATCTTCTGCTTCACTATCATGCATTCGATCTGGGTCCTCTTGTCACCATTGATTTGGGGAACCTCAGCCTTGATGGCATCGTAGAGTGCTTTTGCATCTATGATCAAGGCGCTGGGCAGGAAGTGTTCTCGATCTCTTTGGTTGTCTTTCACCTGTTCCAGCTTGAAGTTTTCCTGATGACATGCTTGCCAGAAGATGTGCACGAACTCCAGTGAATCGACTGCAGCCGAACATGACTGTGCTTCAGCATTCAATGAACTGCGGGATACTCTTGGAAGCTTGAACGACCTCCAGTCAATGATGACATAGGGTTGATCAGGTTCACCTTCAAGTGCTTTCTTGTGGGTCAGGAGAACGAAGTATCCTCCTTGGCTCAAATGATCTGATCGGACACCCCAAGCAGCATCCGAAATGGACAAAAGACACAAATCTTCCAATGGTCCCAACCGTTGAAATGTTAGGCCAATGTCTGCATTGCTTTTGCCAAAACGAAGTGCTTTGTTTGCTGCTTCTGCCACTGACTGTGTTGCTCCACTCACGTTTCCACACAGTATTGAAATGCTTGCTGACATGTGAGGGGATGTCTGTGTGGATGCCCACTGCAACGCTCCTAACAACCCTCGCAAAGAACTGACTTCTCCTGGACGTAGTTCATCATCTTGCTTCTTTGCTGTTGTTGTCATTGGTTTGATCTTTTTCATGTATTCTTCTTGTTGCAGTTTCCATGCACCATTCTCACATGCAGTCAACTTGTTGCCGCAAAATTCCAACTCACCTTTGTCCTCTGTCGTCCAATGTTTGAAATTGAACTCCTTCTTGAGAGACTCCCGTGCCTTGAGGTACACTTCATCTGTTTCATCACCTGCACCAATCATATCATCAACATGTAATCCAATCAAGGATACCAAGCGACCCGATTGGTTGTGCAGCCGAAACAAACAATGGTCCAATGCATGAACGGTGTACCCAACACTGCAAAGCCTTCTCTTTGCCACCTGAAACCATGCACGGGGTGCATCAGCTTGACCGTACAGCGGTTTCAACAATCTCATGTGTGTGCCTGCTGGACAGCCCATCAACTTGCATGCATCTGCTGGGATCCTGCACCACAAAAGCCTAGCTTGTTTGTCTCCCTGCAAAAATGCTGTGCTGACATCTGCCGTGAACTTTGACCATTGCTCATTGCATGCTATGGCCAACAAGGTCTGCCTGCTGGTTCTTGACAACGTGGGACTGCTGGTTTCCAATGCACCCTGTAGCAAATCCGGATCTGCAAAGCCCTGTAGTACAAGTCTTGCCTTTGCCTTTGGATTGCCAGCGTTGTCAGTCACCCATTTCAGCACAAATCTTGCTTTCATGACACGGCTGTGGTCAATGTTCTCGGGGCTGGTCTCAATCTCCCACACACCATTCTCAAATATGGATGACAGTTCAGCTTTCTTTCCGTGAATGAATGCCAACCTGTCTTCTAGTGTCATTTTGCTTTCCTTCAAGTCATCTCTTGCTCTTCGAGTCTTCGACACTCCAACAGCGGTCCAAATGTGACCCCTGCCTCTGATTGACCATTTTCCTTTCGTCTTTTCTGCCAGGTCACCTGCATACGGCATCCTTCTTGTCTCAACTGCTTGTCTTGTCAGGGGAAACAATGTCTTGCCAAACCATGGTGTCTTGCCAACAATGTAGGGTTCATTCTGATTGACATAGATCTTTCGTTGCCCCTGTATCATTGTCAAGCCTTGTGAGGTTTGCAATTCTGACATGTGAATCCCTTCCGGCAAACTAGCTTCCGACAAATGAAATGTTTGCTCACGTGCCCAGCAATGATGTCTCACCAAAAAGCCGTCCTCATAGTTCCAAAAATCTGTTGTGGGGCCAAGAGTGAACTCCTGTGTCTTGGTGTCATAGGTCCACCCTTCTGCCAGGTCATTGAGACTTTCAACACACTTCTTGTCTTCGGTGGTTGAGGTCAGCTCGACATGAAATGCCTCCTCTAGGGAATCATCTTTCCGCTGCCGCTTGTCTATGTGTTGTGTGTCTCCCTCTCCTGGTGTTGGTGGTTCATGAGGAATTCTTAGTCCCCCAGTTGTTGAACCTCGAGCTTGGCTGGTTGATGGGGGTCGTCTCATCCACAAGGTTTCCTGCTTGTTCAACCTTGCCCTTTTCTGCTCGAAAGTTTCTGTGCCAACTGGTGTCTTGAAGATTGGGTCTATCTCCAGGTCTGGCTCTGGTTCTGTTGGTGCGACTGAGGCTGCTGGTGCTGCTGGTGACATTAGGTCATCGTCTTCTGGAACTGGTGGTAATGCCTCGGGGTCCATCATGACGTCTGTCTCGATGGGTGCTGGTGTTGGACGTGCTGCAGCTGAGGTCGGAAACTGTCTCATCAATGCCTCATTGTGAACTACATGCTCACGAGCGAGCTGATCATCATTGTCCACTTGACCATCTGCTTGGACAGTGGCATCTCCAACTTCATCTGCTGCTGGCGGTGGCTGGTGCGTGTTCGTTTCATCTGGTGGCGGTGGTAGGGCCAAAGTTCCTCCACCTGGTGCGCCACTGGCTGCGTGAGGTTCTGGTAGGTCCTCATGCTGTTGCCTGAGGATGGGGTCCAACAACTCTTCATCGTCTTCATTCTCTGGGTCAATCTCATTGAGTGAGCGGCGGTTGAGCTTGTTCAAATCTAGGATTCTCACAACTCTCCGCTGTCGAAGCTCTGCGAGTGATTGATGTACTCGCTTTTCCCCGTCTAACATGCCTTCTTCTCAGGGCATTTTCCTCACGTGCTGACGGCCAGCTCGAAGCAGGGAGGTGCCGTGTGCAAGCCAGTAAACTGCGACTGTCCCGTTATCTGGGTTGCGTTCCACTGCCAACACGATTGCAGGTCCTCTCCACTGAATTGTGTGTTGCTTGTCCGGTGCTTCTCTCCAGTACAAACAGCGCTCACCAGGGTGTAGTTCTTCATCTTTGCCGGTGAACTTCCTCAGCAGAGCTCTCCTAAGCTTCACATCAACTTCGGCTTTGGCGCATGCCGCCTGAGCCAAGAACTTCAGCTGGAGTCGTCGATGAAGCCGTTCTTGCTCTCCCATCTGAAGCTGATTGACTGTAGTCTTCTCATCTGACAGCAATCCTGGCAAGTTTGGCTGACGACCCAATGCCAACTGTGTTGGTGTGAACCCGTTCACAAACGTGTGATCATTGAGGGATGGCACTACCCAATTCAAGGCATCGTGCAGACCTGCCAAGTCACGAAGGCTGTGCTCCTTCATGAACACTTGAACACTCTTCCTCAAGAGCTGATGTCGTCTCTCCACCAAGCTTGTTCTGGTGTGTGATTGTCCTGGACTGATGCGCAACTCAATGCCGTGTTCTTCTGCCCATCTCATAGTGCTGTCGGAACCAAAGGCTGGATGCTCGTCAACAAACAACTTGCCTGGAGGTCCATGAAGTCTCACCCAACTCCTCTCGAAGGCTTTCTGCAGGCTCTGTGACTGTTCATCTGGTATGGTGCGGGCCATCATGTATCGGGATGCCTCATCCACCATCACTAGGATTCCAACCTTCTTGTTCTTCTTCTTCTCCTGGAAATCCTCAAGTGTGTTCATATCCAGCCACAGCACGTCGGCCTGTACATGAAGATTGAACTCCTTCGCTCTGTCGAGATGGGCTGGTGCCGATGACTTCTTCACAGCAAATGTGTTGCAGTAGGGGCACTCCAAATCACGGATGGCATCGAGTACCTTGGTGTCGACTGGTTTGTCCTTCAGCAACTCTAGGAGGATGTCTGGACGTGGGTGTCCAAGGTTCCGATGCAAGCGATATGCAATTCGCACCGCCTCACTCCCGTGCTTTGTGCCGAGTTTCCTCAACACTCCAGTCAACTGCTGCTCTTGTCCCACTGCATAGGCCTGTTCATGAAGCCCTTCATCTGTCATTGCTGCTTCTGCTAAGTGCTGTGCCAAGATCTCTGGATAGTCCTCTGCATGCTTGCATCGATGGCCACCTTCAAGTGGTTGATGTTGATGATCTTGACTGCACCTGCGGGACATGTGCCACACCATTGCTTGTTTGGTGGTCTGGATGGTTGTTGTTTTGCGAATTGGTGCCCATGTGCCTGTGTCTGTCCATGTGACTGCTCCGTAGGCACACTGGTCGAATGTCACTCGCATGCCTGGTAGATTTTGGAAAGCTGGTGTTTGCCATGCCTTGGATTTGCTGGGATGCTCAATGTGTGCATGTCTTCCACCTCTCACCTGACTCATGTAGAGTTTCCTGCAGAACTTCAAATGCACTTCATGATCGAGCCAACGTTTCTCTTGCAGCTCAACACAATCCTCCTCCGTCTTCATGTTGATGCTCTGCATTGTTGACCATAGGGTGCACTTTGGTGACATGAAGATCTCGTCAGGCTCCTCTTCTGCTTGCAACTCCAACAATGCTCTGCGATGCTTTGCCTTGCTGAAATCCCAACCATCTGCCAGTCCGAAGCGCCTCACTATTGCTCCTCTCCGTTGACATTCTTCCGTGAAGCGTCCCTTTCCAGCATAGACTTCCCAGACGATCTTCTGACGTCTGGCTGATGGTCGAGCTTCATTGAGCATTTGTCTCTGCTTCTTCTTGATGTCCTGAAGCTGCAACTCGCAAGCCACAAAAAGCTTCTCCAGACTTTGAACGGTCTTTTCGATTCCTTCTTCCTTTCTCTCATGCTCGGTCTCCTCCACCAAGCCATCAATTTCCGACGCCATTTCCTCATAGCGATCATGTGCTCTCATGTCTTCCAGAAAGTTCTGGAATGTCTCATTTCTGTCGTGATCATCTTCACTGTGAAGGTCGAAGGAGGGATTGCTCAACTGCCATGGATCATGCATCTGTTGACACAACTGCAACAACATGCTTCCTTGCTTGCCTCTGTCAATGTCTTTCCACGGCCCCCCCATGATCTTCACGCGATTGCCGCCGAAATCAACAATGGCCTGAAGCTTCTCCAGGATTGGTCGACCGAGCAGCATGGGGGTTGCACCGAAGATGACATAGGCCTGGATGCGTCCGGCCACTCCCTCAATCAGGACTGGCAAATTCACCATCCAGCGAGCGCATCCTTCTGCATCTCCTCCAAACCTGAACAGTTTGTCACACCTTTTGAACTCCAGGCTGCTGAGGTCAAATCCTTTGCTGTGCAACCAACGAATATACCTGAGGAGGTATTCAGTGCCAAGAAGAAAACTCGAAGCACCTTGGTCCTGGATCGCAACATCAGGCCGTTCAGTCAGCCAGCCTCCTGCTCTCACCAACTGATCACCCTGGGCGTATGCCTCTTCAACATCATGGAACTCGTCCTCCTCAATGTCGTAGTATTGCACCTCGGATGTCATGACCATACCAGCCAAGAGTGGGTCTCCATCTTCCAGCACTCTCTTCTTTGCCGGGGATGAGGATTTGCTGCTGCAGTTCGCTGCCAAATGCCCAACTTTTCCGCACCTCAAACATGTTCTTGTCTCCATTGCTGGAAGTGCGTCTCGAGCTCTTGCCTTGCCGGTCGGACCTTTTCCACTTGTGGATGACGATGAACTGCTTTTTCCACTCTTTCCTTTTCCTTTTCTATTCTTGCCCTTCTTGCCTCCGCCATGGGGTGGTGAGGACGGAGACTGCGATGAGGGACTGTATGGCATCTGCCGTTGATCAACCATTGCAACAACTGGATAGAATCCTCTGGATTGTCGTAGCTGCTGCATCCTCTGCTTGGCATCAGTGTATGCTGCATAAATCTGGTCGAACTCCTCCGTGTCAAACAGCGACTCATCTGCCTCTGCTGCCTCATAAAACACGGGGTCTTCCTCCTCCTGCCAGTATGTATCATATGGACTCTCATCTTCATCAGGCCAGGCCTCAGTGCCGTCCTCGTCATAGTATGCCTGATCATACTCCCAGTCACCTTCAGCTTCGGCTTCCTCTGTCACTGCATGAACGAGTCGGGGGTTTTTCCATCGTCCTTGCTGTAACGGAATCCGGCGTTGAGCGACGTGTGCATGTCGATGATCCTGCCCAAACAACAGATACAATGCTGGTTCAACTGCCGTCAATGTCAATGTAGTGCCGATGTGGGTCTGAACCATTGTTTGTTGTTCTCTTGTCAATGCAGCCCGTCTCAACATCAGCCATCCTGTCACTTCTGGTGGCAATGAGATCTTAAACTTCATCAACTCTCGAAGCGACTGGTTGAACTCTGTGCAGTATTCCAGGAGGGATTGCCCTTGCTTTCTGACCATCTTGAAGAAGAACTTCTCGAATGCTTCTGGCATCTCAACCTTCTCGTCGTACTGCCACTGTGCATCCAATCGTTTCAGGATAGCCAAGATGCCTTCTTCTCTGGCCAGTTCGCTGATCTCCAGGTCTTCACACTGGCGCCACGAAGCGCCATCCAAGACAGCGAGAACATTCAGGGCCGTTTCTTTCTCTCTTCCTTGTAACTTTTAGCGGTGTGCATACAGCTGAACTCTCTTGCGCCACTCCTTGTATCCAACAGTTGTATTGTCAAACTTCGGTACGAAAAACTTGTCAGATGCGGAATCCGGTTGCCTCACTGAAGAGGTCTCCTGGGACATGGCTCCTAGGGCGTGCCGCTACCGGAGCCGACGTGTTGTCGGCTCCGCTACCAATGTGAAAGACTGGGTGTCCAAACCAAGTCTAATCCCAAGTACGCTCGAAGTTACGAGGGGAAAAACACGGAACGTGAAGCATGAAACTTCTTTTCAGCGTAGACCTTCGATGTGACTCAAGGGCCCTTTTTGGTACCCATTGAGCATGAAGCGAGCGGCGGATCATGAAAGATCAGTTCATGGGCCATGAACTCACAATTTTGACATTGTTTGGCAGGGAGGCTCTTGTCACACCGTCGCATGTTCTGAGGTCTCTCTCTCTCTCTCTATACAGTAAAAAGCGAGGGGATCCATCTAGAAATGGCTCCACATGATATAAGTAGTGTCAACCACCTAAAATGCCTCAACTTAGTGACATCATGAACAGCCATATACTTTACGATTACAATCCTAGACTATGTACAGTTGTATATAATCCAGACTACGTGTATAATGTGTATATATATACTGTATATATTTCGAAAGAGATAAACGGCTTCGCACGGAGTCATTTCATGGCCCGTTGCAACAACACTAAAACCAGAGTTCATGTTGAAGCTTCTCATCCAAGCCTGCATAGCCACGCAACAGAGCATGTCGTCCAACACAATTGTAACGACATGCGTACCCTGATTTCAACTTGTAAATTTTGTCCAAAAAGGCCAGGTCGGACATGTTAATGATAAAGGTCGTCCCTTGTTCTTCAAGTGGCTGTATTGTGCGTTGATGTGTCAATTTCAAGAATCATACATCAATCCAAATCCTCAGGTCAGTCTATCGTTTTCATTTCCAGTTGTGCTGTCCTGAGGCATGGTTCGCTTTCGAATACACAAATGTGACGGGCGTGGCCCATGAAAGTACCTTGAGCGAGCCGGGGCTCTCAGCGATCCCTGTTCCAGGAGTATTGGCAAAAGGCAGTTTCAATCCTGCATGACAATAAAGTCCCTGCTGTTGGCAAGTGAGCGGCTCAGGTCTTCGGTGTCCCAAATGGGTTTGCACCTGTGTTTCTTTCTCCCCATGCAGCGCATGCGTCAGGAGCCGCTCCAGGGTCGAACGATCTGAAAATGAGCACAAGCTTTTGCAAGAACATGGTGGATCCACCCTAGCAGCTTGGCTATGGAGACGATTGGAGACGAAGTGCAAGGCATTTTTGCAGAAGAACCCAGTCAATCATTGCCATTGCATTAATATACAGTAATATGTCATGTACAGAAGGCACAACGACAACCTGTCAGCCACTTGATGCCCACGCCCACTTCTCGCATTCCTCGGTGGCACTGAGATTCTTTGGCTGAACGGCTACTTCTTCTTTGGCCTGGCCTGCCAGGCAGTTTACTGCTTGGGAGTCGTTCGACACGCTTGAGATGACCTGATAACGCTTTGCAAGCGGCGCGTAGTGCAAGTGTGGTTCTGCCATGCATCCTAGTGCACGGCTTTAATTGACGAATTGAATAGAGACGCTAAATATAAACCAACGCGAGGAGACCCTGAATGCCAGCACAAGTTCGCGTTGCGATTGCGGTTTGTGAGGTTGCCCATTGTCCCACATTCCGAAGACCAGCTGTCATCATATCAAATCTTGATGGATTGGTCATGAGGTGTATTTTGTTCCCTCGTTTTTGAGCTCTAGATTTTGCTTTGACTCTAGTCTGCAAGATACAGAGCAAGCTTTTTGTTCGACAGGCTCTTTGTGCTTTCATGGCCTTCCAGCACCTTTCCGAGCTCCACAACCCCATCCTTTTCAACCCATAAACCGATCATCCTGCAGTCCTGCAGGTCATCGAGCAGATTCGAGAGACAATTAAGGGTCGAAAGGCCTCTGCTGTGATTTTGGACTTCTCCAATGTTCCTGCGATCGATGCTACTTGGACATGTGAAGATCGCTTTTGGCCAACAGCTCGCCACCATGGCACAGTACAAGCTGTTTCTTGAGGATGAGTTTGTCAGACTCTTTCGGATGCTTTTCAAGCATTTCATGCTTTCCATGCACACTTACGGCCTATTCAAGGCCAGTGGCGTGTGTGCGTTGGTGGAATTGGTCCAGGACACCGTCCCGGACAGTTTGGAAACACATCCACAAACACATTTTGCGAAAGGTTTTGCCCACATGTTCTTTCGGAAAATATGATGCCACTTTGTTTCTGTACTTGAGGGATACATAGACATAGCCTGTTCATCACAACTTTGACCGTCTTAGAGCAGGTTCCTCAAGTCTCTCCTAGTTGGCTCTACTCGCACAAGAAAAGGCTTCAACTTATTGTGTTGTCGCTCTGATGGGCAGGAGCTGCGAGATCATCGCATGTATGGGGACCTGAGAGCTGCGAGCACATCCAAATCCATCAGAAGACTGGAACTTGTGGGCCCTCGATTTTCAGAAGCCTAACTTTTATACGCGCACAATTTAATGACCTAGATCGGATCCCTGAATGTTGACGATGGGTGCCTGGCCAGTCTGACTATATATCCATATGCCTTCGATTCCGTATCCAACATGCATATGCTGGATGTTTGATATCATCACACACCAAAGTAGCATATTCATCGCATACTCTACATTTGTGCATGTTTGGGAAATGCGTTTGGTCTGAGGGTTCGTGTAATCTTCTCTGGCATGGCGCGGCGCCTGACAAAGTCTTTAGAGACTGCAGCACAGCACCAGCAGGTGGTTTGCTTGGGACAGCATGGTCTGGGCGGTTTGCTCGGGTGTCCCCATCGCATCGTCCATCCAAGCCCATCAACGTGTGTAACTGCACACGATGTTCGTACAATCATATGAGCCTGACTCCGGACAAGAGTTGTCTCCAACATGAAGAACTTTCATATTCGAGGGTCGGCTGATCGCTACAAGTTTGATCGAGCCTCCAGCTTGGTTCAGCTCCTAGCAATATATCTTCAAAACACGAAACAGCCTGGGAGTGCAGGTGGACTTGGTCTTGGAAATGTTCCTAGATCTGGACAAGGCGAGAATGTGCACGAATGCTTTGTTTTTGCTCACCAATCTCCCCACGGCGGCCAAAAAAGGACCTTCCGGAATCCTCCGCAAAACACCCAAGAAACAGCTTTGCTCCAACAACGGTAGCTTTGGTTCCTTGGACACAAGCATCTACATT